TATATATATATATATATATATATATCATTATCAGCAGCAGCGGCAGCAGAAAAAAACAAAAAAAAGGACGGCAACGAGGGAGGGGGGAAAATAAGACAGAAGTTGGAAAGCATACTTCGCGGGGGCAGAAACATTTGCCTGGTAGCTTGTCTCCCTTCCAGTACACGAGAGAACCCACAAGAGGCGGGACAAAGAAGGCGTTTCAAGGCAACAGTAGCAGCTCGTGGAGAAGGAACGACATACACGCACACACACGTGTACACCACGAAGGGATTGAAGGAGAAGGACAAGTGCAACAAGACAGGGGTTACGAAGTGCGTCTGCGTGCGTGCAAGATACCCAAAGAGAGAGAGAGAGAGACAAATAGAGAGAAAGTGTGTGTGTGTGTAAAACAGAAAAGACTGTTTTATTATTATTGTTAGGGAGAACCACACACAAAAAAGGGGCGAAGACGGATTTTTGCGCAATATGGAGCCAAGGTCCGTGCTTAACGTGCCGCCCCGTATAGGCTCCGCCCCGCTCACGTCCGCGCAGCAGGCGTTCCACCGGCTGCCGGGTCGCCACATGGGCAGTTATCGCGTCGGCCCGCCACGCCCAGGCGGCGAAAAACAGACGCCGCTGCCGCAGCACCCACATCAGCAGCCGCAGCAACAGGCTCATCCCCACCATCACCACCACCACCACCACCACCATCACCATCACCATCAGCAGCAACAACAGGCGTTGCTAGCGTCACCGTCCCCCCCAGCGGCTTTCTTTGACCGGGCGGCGCCAGCAACAGCAGCAGCAACAACAACAGCAGCGGACTCCGCAGCGTCTAGTCACCCGGCCGACTGCATCTACGATATAACAGAGTTTGTAAATTTCCAGCACACGAAGGAGTCGCCGCCGAAGGGTATTCTCGTGTTCGCGAATGATTTATGGAAGGAAATGCCAGAGAACAAGGAGAGTAGGCCCGAGCACATCCTCTCTCGTGAGGAGCTGTTTCAGGGCGAGTCTGTGCCATCAAAGGTGATGAGTGAGCGCAAGCTGCACAATGAGGTGCTTGGTATTCTGGGAAGGGTCGGTGAGGGCAACCTGGAGACGATGAAGAAGGAGCTGACGGACCTGCCGATTCGCCAGTCCGGTGACGAGGAGATCCAGCAGGTCATACAAGTCATCTTCAATAAGTCGATCCAACCAGAGGACAGCATCTTTGTCCCGTATTACGTCAAGCTGGTTGTGCACCTCATCAACGACATTGGCGAGAACGAGCCGGCTGGGCGACTGATTCGCAACGCCATTATTCGGCAGTGCCAGCGCACATTCGAGAATGCCGAGGAGGCGCAGGCGCAGCTTGAGCGCGAGGTGGCAAACCTGCCAGAGGAGGAAGCAGAGCTGCGGCGCATCATCTTTGCGGGAAAGCAAAAGGCCAACATCAACTTCTTAGGTCTCCTCTTCACTCACGGCCTCGTCCGTGAGAAAGTAGTGCTGCACATCCTCGAGTGGCTCCTCTACGGTAGTGAGCGGAAGCGCCGCATCCCCGCCGACTACGAGCTGATCCACTTCATGAACCTCCTCGTCACGTGCGGGAAGAGTTTCTCAAAGGAGGGACAGGAGTTCGTACCCAAATTCCGAAGCGTCTTGGAGGAGTTAATGCACACACACCCCCAGCGACGCATGCAGTTTCTGCTGCTGAACACTGTGGAGACGATAGATAACAACTGGGAGCCGCGCTTCGGCGCCAAAGCGGCAAATCAACAGCAGTCTCAGGAGAATGAAACGGAGCGGCGCCCACTGCCACCGATACCACCGCGCACCACTGTTGCGGTGGCGTCGCCGCCCAATCCGATCCCATCGCGCGATTGGTTCTGGGCGGCGGTGGATAAATTCTTCAGCACGAGCAGCCTAGACGAGGTGATTATGCTGCTGGATGATATTCCAGAGGGGACACGGATTGTGTACTGCTCCTCTGTTATTAAACGCTACATCACCACGATGCGGTACTCGCTAGAGCGTTCGCGCCTTGGCGAGTTCTTCGGGGAGCTGGTAAACAAGCGCGTGCTGCCTATGGAGGATGTGCGGAAGGCGCTATTGATGCACCTCCACAATGCGGTGGAGGAGGACGTATTCACTGACGTCCCGAAGTACTTCTACAACTGGGCAGTTGTGGTGAAGGGTGGGCGCGACGTCTTTCCGCCCTCACTGCACGCCGAGTTCCTCGGCATTCTCGTCGACCGTGGCGCGAGCCGCGAGAATATAGTCAACATGGTGCGGGAAATGCACAAGGTGCAAAGCGAGACCCAGGGTGCAACAGAGACGTCCCCGAAGAACCGCCTCCGCGTGCTGCCGGCCCTGTTGCGCTACACACCGCCACTGTTCTGCGCCGGCGTCGCGGATGACGAGGGGGATATACTAACTATGGTCTACGATTACGACTCCACCGTGGGTTTCTTTTGCGACCTTTGTGAGCAGTCGGGCTCGAAGGATGCCTTTTTGTCTAAATACTCAATCGGGAAGTTGTCGCAACTGGCTTTCTCGGTGATATCGGCCTTGTTCACATTCGCGCGCTTCGATACAGACGCCGTCTGCCGTGAACACAAGGACTCGCTAAAGAAGCTGCTGAGCTCTAAGCAGCTTCATTTGCTCCTGGAGGAGGTGTATCTTACCTGGCTGGCATTCGATCGCATGCCTGAGGACAGCTTCGTGCAGTTCTCCAGGGCACTGCGTGATCTGGCGGGAAACCCCAAAGAACAGATAGACAAATTCAAGACTATTCTCGAGAAGCAGTACGGTGTAGTCGGAAAGAACGACGCCGCGCTTCTTGATAAGAAGTGATGACAGCCTCTGGAAGAGTCCCTGTGAGTGTGGTGATTGCGGCACACATGCGCAGACAAACACGATCTGAATTTAAACTGAGGCAATGAAGAGGGAGCTCTGGAACTGAGAGGAGAGTCGGCGCATGAACTCTGGCTGTGGTGTGTTGCGCTAGAGGGGATGAGTGGGAGAGTTACCGCTGCGTTAAGGAAGGCGAGGGTGGACGAGATTCTTATTTCGATTCCCCCCAGCTCACTCATTCACTAATCCCCTCTCTATTTCTCTCTCTCTGTGTGTGTGTGTCTGTGTGTGCTCGTGTCTCATGATGGAGTTTCGGTTGCTGTTTCTTTTTTGCTGTTTGACAGCCCCTCCGCTCAATACCTTTGTCTGGTTCGTTTCCTTTTTGCTGCAGAAAAATAAGAAACGAAGAATTGCACACTTTTTGATCTGATTAGTTTCAACTGCTCCTTTCTTTGTGCTTGTGCGTGCGTGTGTGTGTGTGTGTGTG